TGTTTGTTTCTACTTCTCTCAGAGTTCCGGTCCTCCAACTGCCCCCAGGTGTAGCCATATAGCTGCCTCAGCCATGGCTTCCTGCTGGGGTGCTGGCTCAGGCTGGGTTCTGGAAGGTCCTGGGGGAGACCCCATTGGTCCATTCATGTCCTGTTCTAACTCCAGCTACGGCTGGGGCGCTGCTCCTAACTCCACTGTGACATTTCTACAAGAAGGGCAGAGTTGGGGTCACACGCAGAAGGGGTGGGTCATCATCAGAAGCGCTCCTGTGCCTCAGGACCCCTGGTGAAGGTGACGACGTTCCCACCTTTCGTAATTAGGGAACAGCCACAGTCCAGGTGACTCCACACTGCCTTCAACCTGGTAATACAGTGGCCTTTAAGCGCCTTGGCTGGAGACCTGGGAAGCCCCAAGATGGGACCCCAGCGCTGGCCATTCGCTATGGGAAGGCGGTTGCTTCAGAGGCTGCGGCTGCGAGGGCTGAGGGATTCAGTCGGCCTCCTGTGTCTTGCCTGGAGCTACTCTGGGGCCGGTGAATTTACCTTTCCCTGGGCTCCTTTCAAATTCGTTGAGGCTGGGCCAGGAAGCGACACCCCACCTCAGCTCTGGGAAAGAGGAGCCAGCTGGGGGGGACATGAAGCCATCCTCTGCCCCTCCCATAGGACAATGGGGACAGCTCTGTGCTGGATTCATTGAGAGGCCAGTGGGTGTGGGGATAGCTGGGGCAAGTCACACGGAGTCACAGAGACTGTAGAGGGAGAAGACCCTCTGCCCGGAGCTCACAGGGTCCCTGCTCTCCGCAGACTGTGGCCTGGCACCCCCAGGGGCTCTGACCCGGATCGTGGGCGGCAGCTCGGCCTCGCGTGGGGAGTGGCCCTGGCAAGTGAGTCTGTGGTTGCGGCGCAGGGAGCACCGCTGCGGGGCCGTACTGGTGGCCGAGAGGTGGCTTCTGTCCGCGGCACACTGCTTTGACGTGTGAGTCCTGCCTCGGTGAGGGGTCCATCTGCCCGTTCCCAGCCCACCTCTGTAATACGGCTTCAGTCCCCAAGGCCACCGGACAGAAGGCACCATCTCCCTGGCAGGGCTCTGGACATAGAGGGTGTATTTCCTAAAGGGAACCCCCAACGTGCGCTCATGTGCCTGTGGGGCATAGGGTGAAAGGGAGGGACATGTTCCCATGCTGTGTCTGAGGTGCTGGCCAGCAGGCTCCACTCTGGAGGGCTGAGTGCCAGGCCGCCAGGCGTCCGAGTAGAAATGGTAGAGGCTGGTGGTATTCCCTCGGCTCTGTGCTGGTCGGACTGTGGTGTGAGTGTGTGCGCGCGTGTATACACACACAGCAGCCCCATTTCTACTGGGTGGCTGAGAGGAGTCAAGAGCCTGTGTGAGGTCTCCAGAGGGTGTAGAGGGCAGGAATGGGGACCATCCTCAGCGCTGGGTATGGTGCCAGATGATGGGTGTTCCCTCAGAGGGACACACCTCGCGGCTGGGTGAGCCCGAATTGGGTAGGGGGACAGAGCGACCCATTTCCACTGGGACAGTGACTCTGCCTACACGCACCCTGCAGTTACGGGGACCCTATGCAGTGGGCAGCCTTCCTGGGCACCCCGTTCCTGAGCAGCGCCGAGGGCCAGCTGGAGCGCGTGGCGCGCATCTACCGCCACCCGTTCTACAACCTCTACACGCTGGACTACGACGTGGCATTGCTAGAGCTGGCAAGTCCAGTGCGCCGCAGTCGCCTGGTGCGACCAATCTGCCTGCCGGGGCCCGCGCGGCCCCCAGAAGGCGCGCGCTGTGTCATCACCGGCTGGGGCTCCCTACGGGAGGGAGGTAAGTGCGCGCTGAGAGGGGTGGTGGCGGTGGAAGGGTACATGCGGGCACGATCCAACTCCCTCCCTCGCTGCCGCAGGATCCATGGCCCGACAGCTGCAGAAGGCCGCAGTACACGTCCTCAGTGAGCAGACGTGTCGCCGCTTCTACCCGGTACAAATCAGCAGCCGCATGTTGTGTGCAGGCTTCCCGCAGGGGGGTGTGGACAGCTGCTCGGTGAGTGGATGGGTCGCGGAATTCCTCTGTAGCCCAGGTTGGTCTAAGTCTTGCAATACTATGGTCTTTTGAGTCAGGGTCTCAATGCACCCAGAGAATCCCTAAGCCCCAGGAACCCTCCTGCCTCCGCCCTGAGCTGGGGATTTTCACCTGGGTTCCGGGATTTAATTCAGGTCCTCAGGCTTGTGTGACAAGCACCTTTCTATAGAGCCTGCCCAAGAGTCTCTCTGACCCAGCCACCTTTGACTCTGGGGACATCACATGTCACAACTGCTTGTTCAAAGGCAATATCCGGGCTTCCCAACCCCTGCATCCTACTGGCGGGCCCTGACAGGGCATGGTAGCTCAAAGTTGGGAGACTGAGAAGGATTACTGAGTCTGAGGCCAGCGCCGGCATCAATGACAACACATAAACACAGCTCCCTCTCAAGCATAGGGAGATGAGGACCTGAGCTCAGAACCCACAGGAGGCACACAGAAGCCTGTGGCCCCATTCTATGCGGGTACAGAAGATTTCCGGGACTACTCCCAGGGTCACAGAACCCACAGGAGGCACACTGAAGCCTGTGGCCCCATTCTATGCGGGTACAGATTTCCGGGACTACTCCCAGGGTCACAGAAAGTCCCCATCTAAAAGCAATGAGTGGGGAGCAATAGTGACGATCACCTAACACCTGACTCTGGCTTTCATGGGCACAGCATACACACTGGGTTCCGGACGACCAGGCAGAGGCGCCAAACAGAAGCCTTAAGAAAACACATTAGCACTGAACCCATTCCACACATGGCAAAGTCAGGCACCTTGGCATTTTCTCACGTGGGGTCCTCCCTGGTCCTAGAGGGTTGCCGGTCTGAGAGCACTTTTCCCTTCAGGGCGATGCAGGGGGACCCTTGGCCTGCAGGGAGCCATCTGGTCAGTGGGTGCTAACTGGAGTCACCAGCTGGGGCTATGGCTGTGGCAGGCCCCACTTCCCAGGTGTCTACACTCGAGTGGCTGCCGTGCTAGGATGGATAGGCCAGAACATCCAGGAGTGACCACCGTGTGGCTGGCGACAATCCTGGACTGGAAACACAGTTGATGGACACTCAACCTGCCAGGGGAGTTGGTGCCGGCAGCCATAGCGGTCTCATGGGAATTACCTATGGCTGCGTATATTGTTCTAATAAAGAGTCCCTCTCCCTAGCTCTGGCTCAGGACCTGTGTCTCGGCAAGCGCTTGTCTCTGAACAGGCCCATTGGTGCCTTTGTTTATGTGGGAGACAGTCTTATGTACCCAAGGCTAACCTCAAATTTTATCCTTTTGTCCCGTCGGGCCGTCGTAGTCACACAACTCCCCCACCCTCGCTGGACTGACAGACGTGCACCACACTTGATTTATGCAGAGCTGGGGATGGCTCGTGCATGGCTCTACAGAGCCAGGGAACCACGCTGTGTATCCCAGCCCAGTTCCCAACCCAGATGATGGGCACCTGAGACCACGCTCAGTCATGCACAAGGCCGCTCCTTTCTTGTGGGGGAGTGATGCCTTCCTTAATGCCTTCCCTGAGAGTTTGCAGGCCACGGACACCGAGGGGGAAAATACCCTGGGAGGCCTACTATGTTATGCAGAGGGGGCCTGAGGCAGCAGAATGACACACCAGCTTCTCTGCCCCAGCAGCCATTTATTGGCCTGCTCTCAGGTCACAGCTCAGGTGGGGGCAGCCAGATCCCCGCGCTCAAACTGGTCCTCGCTCTCTTCTGAGACCGAGCTGGGCAGCGCAGCCCAAGGGAGAGGCCTCGACCTCCGGGCCCTCCATGCTGACAAGTTGGGGTCACCGGACACAAGCTGCCCTTGCGGGTAGGGAAACAGTTCCGACCGTGGGCAAGCACATGGTGTCCCGGGGAAGAGGTGACGGTCACATGTTGGCTCGTTCCCGCTGTAGTCTAGAGTTGTAGGCGCGGGACACGGTGTTCCAGGCGTCCATGTAGCGGTCCATGCACATGGCAATGCATTTCTGCAGTGGAGGAGACTCCAGCTTGAGTTAGGGTCACATGACCCGGAATTAATCACCCACTAAGACTACAATTACACATGCGCAGAAGCCTTTGCCCTCACTCCCGCGCATGCGCAGAACCCAGGCTGCGGCTCTGGGTTGCGCACGCGTCAAGTCCCTCACTCCCTGCAGTTCGTGACCCCGCGCCCCTCACCATCCCGCCGTTCCCGGGGAGTCTCACCTGCTCGGAATTATCCAAGGAGCCCCCGGGCTTCCCGATGCACTTCCGGAAACATTTGTCCGTCATCCTCTGTGGACACACGCGAGGCCTCAGCGGGGACCCACCCGGGGGAACCCCATCACCAATCCCGGCGCGCCCCGCACCTGCAGCAGTTCCTGTGCGTTGGCCACGGCGATCTGCACTTTCACCTGCTCCATGATGACCCCTGGGTCTAGCTTCCCGCTGCCCGAGCCGCCGAAGTCCGAACCGAAGCCGCTCTCCATGGCTGCGCAGTCAACCGGGCCGCGGCCTCGCGCGCTGACCCGCAGGCGCCGGAAGCCGAGGCACCACGGGAAACGGAGACCGCGTCGGTTCCCATAAGGCTGCGCGCGACGTCACCAGTCCCTTAGGAAGCTGTGGCATGAGTCACCATGGAAACGAAGCAAACTACATCTCCCACAATTCTGAGCGCGCCACGGCAAGCGATCGTCCGTGGTGCTGCGGTAAAGTTCAAACTACAATTCCCACGAGACTTTGCGCACTGTCCCTAGGAAAAAACCCAGAGTATCCCTTTGTGGTATCGCGGATAATGAAACCTAGACTACAACTTCCAGAAGGCTGTACATTTTCATGCGGGCGCAAAATTACTTTATCCGGTCACCGCCGCGCATGTGCACCTGTCGCCCAAGCACCCGCACTATTACATGAAGTCCTCGCAGGTGCTGGGCGCTGTGGGGGCCAGAAAATCAACTCAGAGGCTGTGGTTAAAATCAAAATTTTTATTTGAGTGTACAAAAGTTTCCAGTCGTAAAATGGATATTACAAATGATAAGAGGGGAGAGAAAAAGGCGAAACACACGTTTGGCATGCATCTTAGAAAAGAAACAACCTGTAAAGCTGAGCGATGTGCGTAGTGCAGGCTGCTCCCCAGCCGCAGTGCCACCCCTGTAACCGCTTCGCCTGTTGGGGTCAAAACTCCAGCCCCGCTCGCAAACAGATGGACAGCTCCAGCCAGATGCACCAGAGGGCACCTGCCCCGTGGGCAGGTACAGCTGCGTGGAGACTGTAGCCTGCCCGACACTCCTGAAACCAACTAGACACAGTCCAGGACCCGATACCTGTCACTTAAAACGGAGCTATCTTCTGAGGGGTCGGTGGCAATAGTGGCATCCTGTTGCCTTGGGGAGTCTGGGCCTGAACTACTACTACCACCTGATGTGCCAGCAGACAGACAGCACCCACCCCTCCCCGCGGCTCAATCAAGGAAGCTGAATGTCAGGTGATCTCCATTCCTGGCAGCCTTGGGCCTGAAACCCCCCAGAGCAATGTCCCAGTGAGCTGCAATACTAATGTAAAAAAATAAATATCCGTTAAAAAAATACCATGTGTCTGTGATGGGAGGTGAAGGTGACAGTTGGCAGGCACCAGGAGCTTGTGGAACTATGTTCTACCACAGCGAGCGTCCAGGCCAAGCCAGTAGGGTGGGGCACAGAGGGGCCATGCGGTGTGTATACACATGGGACTATCAACACAGCTGATCTGGCCACACTCGTGTGAGTGTGAGTAGACACTGGCTGGGGCATCCATAATCTGTCCCCTTCTGTCTACTGGAGTGCCAATCCTGTGTGGATTTCCTCCTTCTTGGTCCTCAACTTTAGAAGAGACCCGATGCCCCGAGGCTGGCCCAGGGCAGAGCTGGAGCTCCTCTGACCAGGAGTAGAGGGACGGCCCTGTGTCGGAAGAGCTACCGAGTCCTGATGGGCTGCTGGTGACCACAGCCTCTGCAACCTGATTTGATTTGATTTAAAAAGCGTCAAAGAAAACTCAACTAGTAAATCACTGCAGCGTCACGAGGTCCACCCTGACCAGTCAGCCTGGTCCTGACCCTCCTGCATAGGCCACAGGCCAAGGCCTTCAGCCTGCAGGTTCCTGACCCAGATGAAGTCTGCAGGGAGAGCCCCCCCATTCTCGTGGCCGCTCAACAGTCATCTAGAAATGGACCAAGGACTATGAGAGCTGACTATAAAAAATAATTTCAGGGACTTTTGTGGGGACCTTGGTGACCGTGGGGCAGGTCTCACATCAGTCGGCAACCCCTCGAGGTAGTCCTTGGGTCCCCCTGCAAAGATGAGGGCTAGAGTTAGGCAGCCTGCTCCCAAGCAAGCAGACAGGTCCCCACAGGCTCTGTCCCTAGCCCAGACTCGGCTGGAGTACTCCTCTCAGACACCAGTCTGAGAAGAGGGTGTCCTGGCTGAAAGGTCAGGCGTATGGCCACTAAGGTCTGTGGTTGTCTGAGGCAGGACTGTGGGACCTGGACCTGAGACCCACTAGGTATGGTGTCGCATGCTTTACCTGCTGGTGGAAAAGGTCCTCCTCGCCGAACTCCGCCTCCTCTTCCTCCTCCTCCCCATTCTCGCTCACCTCAACGGATGCCTGCTTCACGGCCTGCACAGCCACCTCCTACACAAAAGGGTGCCACCCCAGGCTTCAGCTCAGTCACAGCTGCCCTGAGGGAAAGGAGATGCCGGGACCCGAGCTCACCCAGCCATGTTCATACCTCTCCATCGGCGTTGACCAGCACAGTGCGGAAGCTCTCCCCAGAGCCCCAGCTGCTCTGGCTTTTCCACACAAGGGTTGATGGGGGACTGTGGGCGACCCCTGCACCAGCTGCCCACACCTGAGGACCCAAGATGGTCAGACACCTCAGGGCCTGGGCCAGCCAATGGCTGTCCACAATGAAGCCCTTCAGTGGGTTTGTCCCTGCAGGATGGCCCCAGGACGTGGACAGAGAGACAGGGTTCACAGTGGCCCAGATACTCAGCTGCAGAGCCACACTGTAATCCCAAGCATCTTGGGGCCCAGATGCTCCACCCTGAACTGAACTGCCAGGCCTCAGACACAGGATACCATTCGGACAGTAAGGTGGCAGTCATACATGACAGCTAGTGGCCACGGGGCTGGTCTCAGAACAGGTAGAGTCCATACAATGTCTTCCACCTTGGGACTCAGTGTTGGGAACCACCCAAGCCCCAAATTCACTGGCACCTACCGTGACTGTCTGGCCGGCCCGCAAGACGTACTTGGGCGTGAACTTGTAGGCGATGTCCTCACCCTCCAGGACCTGTCTCTTGATCCTCCAGTTCCCTAAAGACTGGTCCTGAAACCCAGGCATGCTCTTGACCCCCGCCACTGGGATGGGAGCGCGGACCCTAGCCACCCAGCCCCTCACTCACTTTGTCCGAGGAGTTCTTGAGTCGCACGAACCTGCCCTCCAGGTCCACCTCGTCAATGCTCACAACACCTGTGACTGCGGCCTGCTGGGTCAGGCGGGAGCCACTGCCCATGCCCACGCTCGAGCCCGAGGCACTGCTGCGTGAGCCCTGGGTGTCCTCAGTTTCCAGCCGCCGGCGTTTGCCCCGGCCCCGCCCCACGGACATGCCAACCCCACTGCTGCTGCTTGAGGTGGCCTGAGAGATGGTGACCCGGGAAGACGGGCTAGGGGACAGCTTCAGTCTGCAAGAAGAGAAGTGTGAGAGTAGCCAGGAGGCGAGGCAAGGCGAGCCCCGCCCATTTCCAGGCTTTGCCCACCAGCCACCCAGACCCGCCTCCAGTTTTCGGGAACTCCACCCATTCTCCCGGGCCCTCCCCTCATGTCCAGGCCCCTGGCCCCACTCACCTCTCCTCCTCGCCCTCCAGCAGCTTGCGGTAGGCGCTGATCTCCATGTCCAAGGCCAGCTTGATGTCCAGCAGCTCCTGGTACTCAGCCAGCTGCTGCTGCATGGCGTTGCGCACCTCCGTCATCTCCTGCTCTTTGGCATCCAGCATCTTGCGGAACTTGTCGCGCTCCCCAGCCACGGCCTCCTCCAGCTCGCGGATACGGTCCTCTGCAGCGCTGGCCTGGGGAGGGTGTGGCAGGGTCACAGTGTGGCCTCTGCAGCCTCAGCTGTGAGGGACCAGAATGGTGGGTGGAGGGTCAGGACGGGGTGGGGGCGAACTAGAGTCATGGAGTCACAGCCGCTGGGCAGAGGCCTCGGCGGGGCAGGGCTAAGCTCCATCACCTTCTTTTGGAGGCCTGAGAGCTGGTAGCTGAGGGATTCCATGCGCATGCGGGCTTCCTTGAGCTCTTCACGGGCGGCACTGGCCGCCTTGTCATTCTGGTCCGAGCTCAGCTTGGCATTGTCCAGCTTGGCCTGGTACGTCTGCTCCAGCTCCAGCCGGTACAACCGCACTTGCTCATCATGTTGGCTGCGCAGCTCCTCCAGGGCCTGAGCCATCTTGAAGTCATACTCCTGCTGCCGGCTGCTGTCCACCTCCACCAAGCGCCTCTCATGCCTGCGCCGGGTCTCCCGCACCTCCTATGGGCAGAAAGGCAATGACCCAGCTGTGCCAGGCTGCAGCTCACCAATGGTCAAGTGTGTGGATGCCTCAGCCACGATGGACAACAGCCTGGGCTGTGAACACACTGGAAGAATATACAGACAGGGAACAGGAGCGAGGCTCTGATACAGGCTACAGCACGGAGGAACCCTGATGAAACGGGACATGCTGAGAGAGAACTGGGCATGAAAGATCTCAGCACTTGAGCCAAAGACAAGACATGGCTGCAAACTCAACGCTAGCCTGGGCTCATAGGCAGATCCTATCTTAAAATATTTAAAGAATGCCAGGAGGGCTGGAGAGATGGCTCAGCGGTTAAGAGCGCTGACTGTTCTTCCAGAGGTCCTGAGTTTTCAGTTTCCAGCAACCACATGGTGGCTCACAACCATCTGTAATGAGATCTGGCGCCATCTTCTGGCCTTCAGGTGTACATGCAGGCAGATTGTTGTATACATAATAAATAAATAAATCTTTTTTTAAAAAAAGAATGCCAGGAGCCCGGCGGTGGTGGCACATGCCTTTAATCCCAACACTCGGGAGGCAGAGGCAGGTGGATCTCTTTGGGTTACAGGCCAGCCTGGTCTACAGAGTGAGTTCCAGGACAGCCAGGGCTACACAGAGAAACCCTGTCTTGAAAAACCAAAAATATGACAGCTTAGAATGACATCTCATAAAAGCTGCTGTTCCGGGCTGGAGAAACGGCTCAGAGGTTAAGAGCACTGACTGCTCTTCCAGAGGACTTGAGTTCAATTCCCAGCAACCACATGGTGGCTCACAACCATCTGTAATGAGGTCTGATACCAACACTATATATAATAAGGAAAATCTTAAAATTAAAAAAAAAAAAAAAAGCTGCTGTTCCCCAGAGAGCACCCTGAATCCCAGCACTCGGGAGGCAGAGGCAGGCGGACCTCCACAAGTTCCAGGCCAGCCTGGTCTACAGAGCGAGTTCCAGGACAGGCTCCAAAGCTACAGAGAAACCCTGTCTCAAAAAAACAAAAAGAGTTCCAAGCCAGTCTGGTCTACATGCTAAGTTTCAGACTAACCAGGGCTATGTAGTGAGACCCCGCCTCCAAACGATAACAAGAGATCTAAGGTAGCCACTGACAGAGCCTACCCAGGTGCCTGGAGTTCCAGATCCAGCTGGGAGCAGAGCGGCCCAGGACAGCAGGACACAGTGGGGAGGAGTGGACGTGACAGCAGCGTCCACAGAAGACGGTGAATGTGGGAAGGAGGGGATCAACTCAGATGGAGCTTTGTTTTGTTTCTTGTTTACTTACTTACTTACTTACTTATTTGAGACAGGACCCTGGCTATCCTGGAACTCACAGAGATCTGTCTGCCTCTGCCTCCCAATTACTGGGATTAAAGGTGTGTGCCACCGCCACCCAGCTAGATTTTAGTTTCCCTACAAAACAGACTCTGGCACAGGATGAGGCGGCTACCACAGGCTTCTCAGGACAGAACACACACCTCCCTGGTGTCCGGATCAGCTGCTCGAGAGGCGGCTCCTGGCTGTGCAGCCCTCATTTGCCTTCTTACAGGGACCTGGAGGTGGCTCTTCCAAGTCCTGGGGGCCCCTAGGGCTTCTTCTGAGAGTGCCTTCCCGGGGTCCTCCACGGCTTCCTTCCCAGGGGTCCTCACGAGCCCCCTCAGTGGTCTTGGGCTGAGCTCCCCCCCACAACCCTCCACAGTCTCCTTCAAAGGCCTGGCTGCCATCGGGCAGTTCTTCTTAGGGCCATCTGCAGGCTGGGTCTGCCTCCTGGGTCCTGTTACAGGACCGTGGTCTGTAAACACCCTCTGAGGTCCCTCTCCGGCTCCCCTCATGGGTTTATATTCTCAAACAGGGCTCTCCCCAGAATCAGCTCTCCTACAGGCTCAAGTCCTTCACAGGTCTCTTCGTGGGCTCCTTCCTGAGGTCAGGGTCCCTCACGGCTCCTCACGCAGGGCTCTACACTGAAGCTCACATGGCCTCCTGGGATGGCAGGGCAGCAGCCCCTCTGGCTGGCCCTGGCTAGAACTGCCTGTGGCCCCACAACTCCACAGGCGTCTCCTGTCCAGGCTCTTTCTCAGCAGTGACCACAGGCAGGGGCCAGGGGCTGCTCTGGGCTGTGATGACACAAAGGGCTGTATGATGACTGAGGCCCCGGGAGCTGTGGGGCCGAGCTGCACCTAGGCTTGGTCACTCCAACCATGCTCAGCACCCCAGTGCTAGAGGGTTAGGGGGAGACCCCAAGGTTGGCTGAATGAGGTCTCCATAAATCAAATTCACATCCTGTCCCCCAGATCTGGGATGGTGACCTCAAGTAGATAGGCCAAGTTAAGGTTCTTTTGACACTGATTTTTATGAGAGTGTATTTGTGGGGGTGTTATTGTGCCAGCATATGGCTGTGGAGATCAGAGAACAATTTGTGGGGTCAATTTTCTTCTACTATGTGGTTTCTGGGGGTTCAACTGAGGTGGTGAGTCTCGGCAGCATAGGCCTTTAACCACTGAGCCATCTTGCTAATCCAGTTTAAGCTGGATTTGGTTTGTTTGTTTGTTTAGTCTTTCAAGAGCCCTGGCTGTCCGGAACTCCCCATGTAGACCAGTAGATCTGCATGCCTCTGCCCTCATGCTGGGACTAAAGACATGCGTCACCATACCCAACTAAGTTTAACATTTTTGATATGAGATTCTCGATGACTCAGACGGCCTGGAAATCCAGTGACCAATGTCAAGAGAGACCCAGGGCTGGCAAGATGGCTCCTCAGGTGAAGGCTGCTCCGAGTCTGAAGGCCTGCGTTATTCTGGCTACATGAGCCCTCCTCCCACCCAGAGAAAACGAAGCAGCACAAACAACGATAAAACCCAAGAGAGGGAGTCAGCGAGAAGCTGCAGGGGACAGCAGCAGGTAGGATGCCCTGCAGCCCACGCCGACGCCGACGCCGACGCACGCTCACCTCCTCGAACACGCTCTTGCTGAAGCCCAGCTCCTCCTGCAGGCTCTGGCAACGGTTCTCCAGGTCCACACGCATCAGCGTCTCCTTCTCCAGCTGCTTCTTGGCCACGGCGTGACCATCCTCTGCCTGGGAGACACAGGGCAGCGAGTTGAGGGGACGGCCACCTGGCTCGGCTGCCACCTGGGTTTCTCCATGTCAACCGGGAAGCATGACATCAGCATCGCCAGACCCACCTTGGCCAGCTGTGCTCGGAGCTCAGCCACATCGGTCTCCAGCCCGTGTTTGTCACTGAGGGCTGAGGCCAGCTCGGCCTCGCTCCGGTGGAACAGGGTCTCCAGGTCCTTCACGCGGCCCTGGGCCACCGTGAGTTCACCTTCCCGCTTCTTGGCACTGAAAGGAGGGTGAGCAGTCAGAAGCTCCGGGGAGGCCAAGCATAACATCACCACAGTCCCTGTCAGTTACTATAGGCAGACTGGGAGACTGAGGCAGGAGGATAGCTTCAAGTTTGAGACCATCCTGGTCTACAGAGTGTGACCTTGTCTCAAAAACAACAAAACTAGCAAACTCAAACCAAACCCAACCCTACCGAAGCACTGGCCATAGTGGGCTACACCAGCCATGTTTGTCAGGGCTGAAGGTGTCCACCTTGCCTAGCTGCCCACAGAAGTGCAGCACCCAGAAGCCAGCTCTGGGTGGGGCCCAGGAAGCCACTTAGCCATAGAGCACTGGCTGCAATTCGTCCTTGCGCCACCATACTGGGTGAACCTCCAGTCCCTGGCGTGGAGTGCCGGGGGCTGCGGGCACAGGGAAGAGGAGGTGGTCTGGTGAGGGTCACACTTGGGACCCAGGGGACAGTCACACAGGCTAAGGAGAGCACCGAGACCTTGAGCCCGCTGACCCTGGAGCAGCAGGTCTGCGAAGGCCGTGCCAGGCCATCTGCAGCAGCTCCAGGCTGGCGGACTTGGGGCTCCATTTTGACCCCGCAGTCATCCCATCCCTGGCCCTTATGGGCCAGGTCTCCTGGGACCATGTACCCGAGGCATGACCACTTGACCTGTCTAGTGTCCTCTGATGTGTATTCTCATGTTTAGATGCGTGTGCATACAGAGATCTGAATTCAACACTGGGGGTCCTTCCTCAGCGCTCCCCACATTCTTGGTGGAGGCAGGTTCACCCATCTCCCCAGTGCTGGCATCACCAGTGGGTTGTGAGGATCCAAACTCATCCTACTCCCTTAGGACAAGCTGGGTCCCCAGCTCAACCACCCACCTCTTCCTGGCCTCGTCCAGTTCAGCCTGCAGCTTTCCCATTTCTATCTGCAGCCGCGCACGCTCCCGGGCGGTCTCATCCAGCACGCGCCGGGCATCAGCCAGCTCCGACTCGTACAGGGCCTTGATGCCACTCACCTGGGGAGACAGGGTGGGGGGACAGTGGAGACAGAGCTGCCCTCCCTCGGGTCAGCAGGCACGCGGCACCCCGTGACCCAGGCTAGAATTCCTGGTTGAGTGTGCTCTCTTTGCCCTAATGGCCCAGTTCTAGGATGACAGGTGCCCAGTGCCACAGCCGTGGCCTCTTTAGCGTTGATCATTTCACGCGTGGTCACAGGGAGCCTTCCTGGGACTCTGCAGGGTCACTCACACTCCGTCCCTACTATGGCAATTCTGGAGCCCCTGAATCTGCCCTCTATTCATCAACACCACGAGGACAAAGGCTGGGAGATGCAGGCCCTCCAGATGTCCACACACCCATCCTCAGGGTCACCCCCTCATCCATCCACAGGGTCACCCCCTCACCCATCCGCAGGGTCACCCCCTCACCTATCCTCAGGTTCACACCCCTCATCTATCATCAGGGTCACCCCCTCACCCATCCACAGGGTCACCCCCTCACCCATCCTCAGGGTCACACCCCTCATCTATCCTCAGGGGTCACCCCCTCACCCATCTGCAGGGGTCACCCCCTCACCCACCCTCAGGGTCACCCCCTCACCCATCTGCAGGGGTCACCCCCCACATCCCTAGCAAGGGCTCTTTGGGGGGGCCTCTCCACTGACCCCACATGCCGCCCAGACCTGCCCAGGACACACCAGGGGGCCTCAAGGGTCGGACTTCTCCCTGGCCCTCCTCTCTCCTGTTGTACTATGAGCTTGATGTGTTCAAAGACACGTGGAGACAGACGGCAGGGAGGCCGGGCTTTACACCCGAGGATGTCAGAGGGACAAGCAGGTCAGGAGGAACCTCCCATGACCCCAGCATCACAGGGCCTGCCAAGGCAGCCAGGGTCACTGCCTGAACCAGCACCACACTTCCCAGAAAGAGTGGAAACGCCCATGGAAATCCATACAATGTGTACAGTGCCACCAGCCCTGACACTAGGGGGCAGCCCTGTGTCCCCAGGCAAAGGATAGCACAAGCTGCCAGTCACCCATTAGCTGGACTATTACCAACCCTGATGTGACGGTTGGGGGACCCTGAGGACATGGTGCTCGTGGGGGACCCAGACAGACAGAAAATGTCCAGAGCAATCCAGAGATGGCCGAGTGGAGGTGGATTCAGGGCACAGAGCACAGTGGGACGCATGTGTTGTGCATGTGACCCTATGGCGGCCCCTGCCCTGGACTCTGAACTGGCTAGGAGCACTTTACAGACATCGGGTAAAGTCTGCCACTCGGGTCGGGGTGAGGAGGGTGTGGGCGTAATAAAATGCACCCTCTCTTCTGGGCTGTGCCTGCCACTTCCTCACCCCAGAACGGATAGGCAGGGCCTAGTGTGAGGAGTGCCCCCTGAAGGAGACAGTTTGAGACGTGACCCTACTGCACCCCAACACCCCAAATCAACCTCAGGCCAAAGCCAAGAGTTCCAGCCCAGATAAATCTTCCATCTTCACAAGTGTGCACTCCACTTTTTCTGTGCACTCCAGCATTTTCTGTGACGGATTCAGGTGCAGAGGTGTTATAGACAACACACACACTCACGTGCGTGTGCACACACAGACACACATGCTCACACACACGCATGCACACACAGACATGCACTCACACAGACACATGCTCACACACACACATACTCATGCACACACAGACATGCCCTCACACAGACACACATGCTCACACACACACACACACACACACACACACACACACGCACGCACAGACATGCCACCCTAAACCCCGCCTACTGCCAGGTCACTTCTTACAAGGTGCACACTCGCTAGGCTTCCAGGAGAACAGAATACAACAGCTCCCATGAAGCTAGCGCTGGAGGTGACTACTGGGCTGCCACACGTGTCAAAGGAGAAATGGACGGGCTGAGGCAGCAGGATTAGTTCATGCCCACAGATGCCTGTGCGCCAGCTGGCTCCTGGACGGGCTCTGGGCAGAAAGGACACTGGGGAAACACGGGCCTGCTCCACGCCGTGTTCCATTTGGACCCCATGGCCAACCTGGTCTCCTCTAGGCCTGTAGCCCTTGCCCGAGCTTACTATCTATCTAAAATGGCGTCTGCATTTGTATTTTTTATCTTTGAGACAAAGTTTCTCTGTGTAGCCCCAGATGCCCTGGAACTCATTTTGTAGACCAGGCTGGCCTTGAACTGACAGAGCTCTGTCTGCCTCTGCCTCTGCCTCTTGTGAGTGCTGGGATAAAAAGCAGTTTCTAGATCTGTAAGCGTCTGAACAGGGCTGAGGTGTGTAGCCTAACTTGACAGCATTCTCAACAAAGCTTTACTGGCACAGGTCAACAGGTGTCATTGCAGGCGGGTGTGGCTCAGTAACACTGCCTTCCTCCGCTGTGCGGCCGGAGGCCACGTGGCCAGTAGAGCAGCAAGACTGGGCCTGCGGGGATGCTGCAGTGCCCAGCCACGGACTCCCGACGCACCGCACACATCTGCCATCGCCTCGGTACCCTCGACTGGAGAGCTTGGCCCCTCCAGGACTCCCTGTCCCCAAGACATACTAGCTTAGCAACAGGACACCGGGCAGGAAGTTAGTGAGGTTGAGTTTCCCTGTGGGAACTTTATACCCCAGCCTCCAGAGGCCACGGTGCAGCCTCCCTGCATCCTCCTCCTTCAACCTTTCTCCAAGCATCACCTCCCTGGACAGCCAGCTCAGCATCCCCCAACCCACCCACCACAGCACTGTCCACGGCCTCACAGACACCACTGTCACACATGGTCCAATTTCTGGATAAGAGGGACTGGGAGGCAAGAGCCTGCGTGGCCTCAGTGGGCAGGAAGGCCAAGGCCACCTCGTGCTCAGCAGGCAGTGGCTACCAGCCCTCAGTGGCACCTTGAAAATCCTTCCTCATGTGCCCGCCATTCCCCCATCTCAGCTGCAACAGGATGGCAAACGACCTGCACCTGCCCACTCCTTGTGGCAGCCCCGCCCCACCAGGCATGCCCACTAAGTGCCTGTGCTGTCTCCCAACCACAGCTGTCTCTGTCCCTTGCCAAGCTGCCCGGAAGACAACCCTGACAGGTGGGCCTGTGCTGCCCGGGTGGTGTCCTCTGTGGCCACTCCTCCCCACTCCCTGTCCCCCGGCCACCCGGCCAGCTGTCCTCAGGCTGCAGGACACATTGAAACGAGGCAGGCTGCCTTCCAGAAGGGCAGCGTGCCTGACACTTGCTGCTAGTCACCCTGGCTCACACTTAAGTCCAAAACCAGCCCTGTGCTCCGACCATGCTTGCAAAACCGAGGAACTGAAGGGGCATGCGTGGACAGGTGGCATCCACTAGGGCGGGCACCGCACATGCTCGCAGATCCCGGAAGCTCCAGATGTCTGTGGGACAAACAGCCAGAGCCGGGGAGATTGCTCAGTGAGTAGCGTGTCTGCCACACAAGTCTGAGGACCAGCATTCCGATCCCCGGCACCAAAAAAGACAGATGTGGTGGCACACGCTTGTAATCTCGGCAGTGCAATGGAAGAAACAGGAGGACGGCGGGGGCTTGCTGGACGGCTAGCAGAGATAGCCCA